GAGTGGAAAGCCTTACTCTCAAGGTCATGAACGTAGAAGGCTCGAACACGAACTTCGAGTATCCAATACTGTCCCCTGGGCCCCTGTGTCCCCGTTGACCGTCCACGATCGGGAACGTATCAGCTGGTTACCAAGGGTGCAGAGGCCATGAGCAGCCGAATCTTATGAATTCACCACTGGTGAATCACCAGCTGATTCTCAGGCATGAGGATCCCATCCGACAGCAGTAATTCTGAACTACAAAGACAGGTCTGCTTCGTATGAGTACAGCGAGCTTTCGCGGGAGAGCTGCCCAGGCCCTGAATTCAAGCGCTTGATATGCGTGGCTAGGACTTGCTGCGAGTCAGTTGCACTTTCACTGACATGGATGAAATTTCTGGCCAGGGATTTCCACGGCAAACACACATCATGCAAGAATATGGATGCCAGTCTGGCTCATTGAGCACTTGTAATTCACTCTTCAGAAAAGTTTCTCCCATCAGGTTATTTTTCGCAAGAAGACCCGCATCGGGTCGCCCGCTGCTCCCTTGTGTGCTCTGAAGCTTCGCGCTTGACGTGAATGCCCTTCACTGAAGAATGACAGCTTTACTCTATGAGCAATTTACTCTTCACATCCAGGTTTCACTCAATCAACACAAGCCTGCTCGCCATGTGATATAAGCCTAGTGATGATCGAGTGGCAGTCGGGTTTCGGCTCAGCCTAATAGGCTGGTGATCGCCACGATAACGCGAAGCGCCCTACCCATCATTTGTGTAGACATTGATAGGTGTGCCGTTTTGGCAAAATAATAGTAACCGTAGATCATTGCTGCTGTTGAGGGTTCCGCTCTGATAGTGAATCATCTTGAAAGATAGTAATGAGGGCCATCACCACGAACCTCTCGGTGCTTTAGCGTTACAAAGCACCAGAAGGATCAGATGACGAATTGTGTGGAGTTCCACAAATTTGGCGTAGTAATCAGACTCATCGCTATCAGCAGCTGGTGACGAGGTAATACAAAAGAACAGAGCAGGCCGATGAGCGAGAATCTGAGGACCCTCCGGCGAGGAGATGGTTTTCACCTCCCCGACAAGACCCACCAGAGATTAGTAATCCACCTCACGAAAGGGTTTTCGTTATCTCCAGCTACGGCGGCTTGAAAGCGTGTGGGGTCGTCACCGTAGGTAGCCGCAGGGCTTGAGGCAGACTTCTCAGAAGTGTGCAGTCCCAACAGAAAGTATTCGTCAATCTCGACCAGGCTAGTTAAGAACGACATAATTTCGGTGTCATTGAAATCCATGGAGTCAAACGCTTCTCGTACTTGAGCTGCCAGTAACACCCAGAAAGGATGCTCATCGTCTTCTGCTGTGATAGCTAAACCTTCTGGTAAATAGTCTTTGGCAGCAGAAGAACTCAACTCGGCACGCATTTGAGCTGCCAGGAGCGCCGCTAGGGGACCGTCGCCAGCCATAGGCACAGGTAGCTCCGAGTAGGTGTCATAGGTTGTCAGGGATCCCAAGCTGTTGGGTGTGGCGGTGACCACCGAAATAAGAAGGAGGATACACGAAAGATATTCTAGGGTGATCGACATGCTTCGCACGAAGAGAGAAAAAGACCTGCAGTGCAAGATAGTAGCTGTTTAAGCCTTCGAAGGCCGTTGGGTAACCCAACGTCGAACCCAACTTGGGTTTGACGGCTCCCTCTTCATGCCGTGCCTGCTAGCTCAACATTGAGTCTTCCGAGTCGCAACTCCTGCACGCCTTAGACCTCTGCATCAACCACTAAGAAGTGACTTCGAATGGGGTAATATGAAATGTAGCTAGAAGGTTTGGAAGCTGAGCTAGCTCAGGCCGGCTTGGATAAGAGGGTCGTGGATAAGATACGTCAGCATAGCAGACTCTGCCATGTGCTTCTGCGCACGTGTATGTACTCGCGTGCTTGGCTGAGCCTGAGCCTCAGCCGCCGAGGTTCAACAGCCGAGTGTTACGCCGTTGGTCGCCCAGCCGCAGTCTGTCACTTAAGGAGTGTCTAAGCTTCTCCTCCCCCACTATTCCATGCTAGGAAACAGAGCTGAAGCCTAATAAGGTTAAGTATTCGTGTCGGCATCTGTCCCTTAGCGCGGCGCTAGTGGACTCTACTAAGTAGAGGGTGTCCCCGTTTGAAAGACTAGATTCTGTTGTCGTGTCGCAGGCGCGCACGCCATTGTTGGTGAAATTGTCTTCTGTAAAACCTCTGGTCTCCGAGATGAGGCAAGGCGCGGCACCGCGCTAGCGTCGGTGAGGTCGGCAGGACCTCACGACGTCAGCGAGGGTAACGCGAAGGCAAACTGTGCCAAAGTCAAAGGCGATGCTGCAAGCGACAATCGCGGTTCGGCAGGCACAAGTTGCCCCTCGAAGACCTCGGTTAAAAAAATATGAGGGCGTCGGGAGGACGACGCACGACTACTTAGACCGTTGTCAAGCACCTGATAACTCGAGCCGGCAGTCCGGGCACTAGCTTGCTAGCGTAAAAAAGGGCACAGTCGGGACACTAAGTGTCCCGACTGTGCGCGCAATATAACATGGCATCTCTCCGTGCCTGTTTTAACCTATATAAACTACTCGTTTATCCGATGAACTAGGCTTAAGTGATTAACCATTGATATGTTCATACGTTATTGAGATTAACCTCTCCTATATCTGGGTATTGTGTTCCCTGGATTACAGATTTGCATCTCGTTCGATCAGAGGTTCAAGGGAACGAATTTCGCCGCGCCGACGGTTCCAGCGGATTCAGCAACGTTGACAGCCTTTGCGCAAGCTTTCCTGAACCTCGGATCACGATAGATGCAAATTTCGTCCTTTGCAAGCGGATATCCTGTAGCCAGTCTAGCTCAGAATTAAATGCTACTAGCTAAGCTAGTAGCACTGATAGCTAGGCAAATATCAGCCCGGTAATATCAAAACCGCCCCGAACCTTCCCTGGGCGTCCCAGCGCAAGATACAGTTGATACAGTACTCGCCATCAAACGATTGTATTTGTTTTGGCGGAGCTCACGGATCCAATGTTCGGAGTTACGAGCTGAAATTCCAGATATGGAGGTTTCTTGCTACTACGGATGATTACTGTTACTAGGAGCCGCCGGAACCTTCGGAGATCTGGCAGGCTGCATCTGGGGCCGAGGGAAGGGCATTGCAGTGCAATGTCAATGATTCTAGCAGCGTCGAGATAGATCGATCAGATTGTGACCGATGCGTGGCGTTCCCGTCTCTGGCTTGACACCAGTGTGGAACCTGAACGGCTTGCCAGTCCTTTCAGGTTCCACTCTGCGAAGCTGGTAAATTGCGAGTGGTAAATTACCACTCTTAGTGGACTCCAAGGAAAGGCTATTATTCCACGAACAATTGACCAGAGGACTGTTTTCGTGAGTGATTCGTTAGCATCCCGGTCCTTCCTCCATGGTGCAGCCCTACTGCCACATGTCATCCAAATGCAGCGTAAAGCAGTTATCAGCATTAGCGTTGGCGGTCGGTATGAAGCCGAGCCGTCGGGCCACTGCTTGAGACCTCAAGTTATCATCTCGACAATAGAGGAGGACCTCCGTTATGTTGTCGCCAGCACAGAGCTCTTCGGTCACCTAGCGGCAACTACATATGCGGGCTGCAGTGAACGCCGTTGACTGAACGGAAATGCCATGAGCATCACCGCAGTGCTAACCAGCGCCTGACCTTCGGCCCAGTCAGCTACCTAGGAGGGCACGTCCTGGAAGAAGCATTTCGACGGTGGTTCCCGGACAGATTCGGGTAGCCCTTCAAACCTTCTGTTGTAGTTCGCGCGATCGTTGGAGATACGACACGGGAGTGTTACTCAAGGTAGACTGCGGAAGTGACCACTGGTCACTGACCAGTTTTTCCTACGGGATGTCGATACAGCAGGCTGACGCGCTGAGGCCAAGTGAGCGTCCTCGTCGAGGGAAGGATTAATCGTGTGGAGTGTTGCACTCCAACATCGATACGGGCTTGATTTGGATGGCAGGGTCGGAGATAAATACATATATGTCATGGGATTCCGCCCACGTGCGCGTACTTGCGTGCTGCCGAGTGTCTACAGCCAAGTGTTGTGTCGTCGGTCTGCGACAGCATATCACTGAGCGAAGTTCGTCAGAGTGGCGCCTCGTCACCAGGCTACCAGCTCACATTAGCAAAAGACAGTCGTTCGCCCTGAGCTTTTTCTCGGGCAGTCCTCAGGTGCGCTCGACAATCCCAATGAGTTCCTAGTGGTAACTTAGCAGTGGCACCTGATACCTCGCGCACTGTCAAGCATATGGTAGGACTAAGGTTGGGCCACTCGGGTGGGAGTAACGCCGAGGATAGCCTCTTCACGTAACTGCCAGAGTTGAGTCGAATGATTCCGGTCAGGGGCATTCAGGTCAAACAGATTCCGTTTTCCCGCTCGATGCGTTGAACGCAGTGTGCCCTGCGCCTCAGCTAGTCGGCCTTTAACGTTTAATTCTCCTGCGATATCGGATCTGACGGAGTGGTCGCTGAAGATGTAGACCAGGGCTTCCCGATCGTTGATGCTGTTGAGAACGGCCCGTTCTGAATCAGAACTGCTTGGTTCCACTAGAGCCGTTCCAGGTCACCGGCGAGGAGTGCCAGTTCTTGGTTCACGGCGATGGACAGAGGGGTGACATCAGCCAGGGGTGGAGTTGCGGGGGACGTCTGAGCCTTGAGTTGTGGGGCTCGTGCTGCGAGGGAGTCTCGGACCGAGGCTCTGCCAGGAGCCGCCTTGGGGCTCGCGCTCTGTGGCATGTCTTGAACCATATCTGCTGGAGTGTAGACTGACTCTCATAGCCGGATGAACTCGTGGCCACTTCGTTCGGAAGGGAGGGGTAGATCAGGGGTTGGTGCTGCTACATGTCATTCCGAGGCAGGGGATTGCGGCGTAAGGGTATCGATGCATCTCAGTCAGATGCGAATAATGATAAACTTAACAGGCTTCACGGATCAGGCACTGCTTATATAATCGCACCAAACACTTCAGCCACTGGTCAGTTTGAGCTGACGACCTTCTGCTTACGAAACAGTCACTCTTCCACTAAGCTAAAGTGGCTTACATAACAAGATGCCCAGGGAAATGCCAGGCCAAATAACCATGGCGCGAGGTCTTCCTCCTGCAGTCATCAAAGGGGTACCGCGATCCCACGAAAAACTCCAGCCACTTCCTAGGATGGAACTAACGACCTACTCCATACGATGCAGACTCTCTACCACTACCCTAAAGTGCCTTACACATCGGATTGCTCAGAAACTGCTGGGCCGAATGAGTACCGGTTACGAAGTAGGTTAGGAGTTTGAAGTAGGGTTACGTTCAGTTTGGAGACGGAGACAATACCACAATCAGCCTGATTGAATCAGGTTCGCGAATCTCTTGTGAGCTCTGGGGAGGCTAGTTGCATGAGTGCTTAAACAGCTACACTGTCTATAAAGTACAGTAGCTTGTCCGTTGTAGATGGTTTCAGTCTTTAACCCCTCCCGCTCGCACCTGTGTTGGAGGCTCTGGGACGGTTTGACGTCGCCCAGGTCTCGCGGGATCGTCGCTACCCGCGCTTGTGTGGAGAGAAAAGCAACTGTCCTCATGCCACTCACTCTGTGAATTCGACTCGTGATTTGACGCACCTTCTGATCCAAGTGGACTGTCGGTACAGTACTCGAATCCTGCACTCATTAGTAAGATTCTGGAATCATGAGCAACATTCCAATCAAGAGTAAAACTGTTGATTCGAGATTCAAAATTCTCAAAGCGCCCCCAATATCCAAATCATGTCAGCGTCAGTGTCCTTTCCGGTGTTAGAGCAAAGAGCTCAGCGACTCAAAGCTCAGTAGTCATTGTCTGATTCCTTTGACGAAGTTGAAACTCTTGCTGACTGCTCGAATCAGTATCTACGCACGGCCCCATCACAAGGTAGTTGAAACGTTTATGTTGATTATGACCGTACTGCCCGCATTGTTTATCCGTCTGTAACTCTAAGCTTGGTAGGTGTGACTTACACGATGTGACACATCCGTAGCACATGCCGAGCTTCAATCTTCGGTGTCGTGGAGAAGCGTAGAAGTTTATAGAGACATGAAAGACTGTCATTGGAAGTCTGTTCAACGCCTCAATCTAGATTCCTGCCAGCCACGCTAAAGAACAACTTCTCACTATGACCGCAGGTCAGTTTTGTCGGTAGTCGGAACCTGCAGCTGACGTCTTCGAGACGCGTTGCTCGATCTGAGATGGTTTGAATGATCAGATTAGTTCCACTCGCGTATTGGAAATGGCCGGTAGTGCTCACTTCTGCACTGAGAGGGCTGCATTGTGATATTCAATTTTAAGTTCTCCTTCTGTATCGTTAGGCGTATGAGGGGTCGCTCGTCCTCCTCGGATGAGTGGACACTATTTGACGGATCAGCCCTACTGATCGCCCAAGACCCGACTGAACAAACAGTTGTTGTGGTGATGCGAACTGAATGAACGGGATGAAGCGGCCATGGAGGATGACGCGACGCGTCTGAATCATAACATCTGTCTCCTTGAACCAATCAGTCACTCTGCCAAAATCGGTATAGTCATCAGCGCTTATCACTGATGAGCGAATGGTGCCCCTTTGGCCCAATTGCTTATCCAAAAAAGAGTTTAAACGAAGAATTGTTCTCGTCAACTGTTACCTTCTAGGAGACCAGAGCAGTTTGATGAGCGACAAGACGATCTTCACCTGCCTGTTAAGGCCAACCAAATACTGGCAATCCATCTCACGAAAGGGTTCGTCGTATCTCCAGATACAGCAGCCTGGGGCCGTGACAGGTCGACACCGTGGGTAACCGAAGGGCTTGAGGCAGTCGTCTCAGTAGTGGGCAACATCAACGAAAAGTCATCACCGTTCTCAACCGCGCTTGCCAAAGCTGAGACTAGTTCGGTGTCACTGAGTCCCTGAGGGCCAAACTCTTCACGTACTAGATCTGCCAGTAACACCCAGAAAGGATGCTGGTCGTCTGCCGCCGTGGTAGCCAGGCCTTGTAGCAAATAGTCGTTGGTAGATGAAGTACTCAACTCGGTACGCACCTGAGCTGCCAGAAGCGTCGCTAGGGAATCAACATCCCCTTCGGCAGAGGTGGGTGCAGATGGTTCCGAGTAGGTGTCATCGGTCGCCAGGGATCTCAAGCTGCTGGGCACGGCGGGCTTCCACCATGTGTCGTGGGCACCTGTGGCGGCGACCACCGAAATGAGAAGGATACAGGACAGATATCCTAGGGTGGTGGACATACTTTGCAGAAAGAAGAAGCCTGGAAAAGAAAAAGCCCAATGACTCCGCACACTCTCACAGCCGTTGAAGCATCCAACTCGAATGCCATTGGGCGGCTGGCGTCTCTATGTCGTGCCTATTAGCTCAGTATTTAGTCTTCCCAACCCCAGCTCGAGGAGCGTCGTGGGATAAGGGGGCAATCACTAGGAAAAAGTACTGACTTCAAATAAGATTTTATGATAAACCTTTTATCGAATGTGATTGGAAGGTTTCTGGGTAAATCTGCAGCTACAGCACGCCTATGCTTAGCTCAGATCGCTATGTTTACACGTTCCAGCGGAGCGATCATCGAAATCTTATCGGAACTGTCTACCTCATCACTATAGCAGTACGATGCGACCCTTAAGTTGAGCCGACGAAACAACAATGAGCCATCGGTAGCTGTCCTGTCAGGACAAGACCTGATCATCCCACGAATGATTCACGGATTGCATGCACCAAAATCAACGCGTCACATCGGGAATAAGTAGACAGTTGACGGGTGACGGGAGTGCTATTCGCGGTAGACTGCGTTAGAGTTCCCTGCAGTTTTTTCTATGCAATAGGCTGCCAGCCTGAGGTTGAGCAAGCGCCCCTTGTCGGCGAAAAATTGATGGTCTGAGTCAGACGGTCTGAGGTACCGCAGTCCAACCTTGTTCTGGGCTTGTGTGGCTGGTGGTGGGTGGGGTATAAGACGTGCGCGTCGAATCGACGCCGTCGATTCATGTCGCATCCGAATCGGATGATCCGATGCGACACATTTCGTGTCAGTTTGTCCTTCCGCGCCTTCAGGGTTACTTCGTAGAGTCTGTGTAGCTCATGCACTTCCATAAGTTCAGAAGAGACCGTGTAAGTGGAGACTTGTCTATAAGTCATACGCTGCAACAAGTATGTTACCACTATAGTATATTTTGTTTCACTCAACTGATCAACTCAACTCGATCACTGATCATATGCATCTTTATTTTAGCGCAAGATAATAACTTTGGATCTGATCGAGTGCAAAGTCTGGACAAAGCCACTGGCTTCGGATATCGGTATGATTTTTTTTGATAAACTCATTGTATGCTCCTACGTATGGCGTTTTTATCTGAGGGCACTTCAATTTTTGGCGCCGCCGTGCATCGTCTCCGCATAGTGCAGTCTGCTCAGCAGACTCTGCTGCTTCATCCACACAGTGAGTACGGAAGAACGCCGCAAGTGCTTCGAGAGCGGAGGTGTTCACGGAGCATAACACCACGGCTTAGACACACGGTGTGTCACACACCCAAGGAATCACGAGTTGGCGCCGAGCCCTCGCCTTTGAAGAGCCAGTGTCAGCGTCGTCTCTGGAGTGGGTTATGTTCCAGTCGTCTCCTATTCCTCAGGAATTGCACTCGGCAATGCTCCTCACGTGGCTAGTCGTTGCTAGCCTACCAATTCTAGGGGCAGGCTAGACCCGAGTCATCACCACTTGCCACATGACGGTTAATCAGCCAGTGAACGGCTGAGTTCCGCCGACTCCTTCGGGCCTGCTACTCCGCTTCTTTCCAAGAGGACTCTCGCGAGCGAGGTGGGGCTTATGTGGCAGTGGGGCGCTGGGGTTTGGTTTCGTGCAGGTTACCCTGCGGATGGGTAGCAGGCCACCGCTAGGGGCTGGAGCTTAAAATACGAGGAGGGCTGAAGTATAGGGTCGTCCGCGCTGAGTTACGTGCAAGGAGCTGCTGCTCACCCGACGGCGAAATATGACCCGCCAGAACATCTTACTCAACGAGTGATCGCCCCTACTGACCTCGCTCGGCTGAAGTTCCACATGATGAGCCAAGTATGATACTCGAAGTATCCGGCCCGGTTGTGGGAACGAGGTATATTTCAAACACCGTGTTTTGCGAGAGCTGTTTGGGCACGGCCAAAATCACGAGGAATGTCTTCCATCGTAAACCGAGTCGACTAGACCGACCGCGCCAAGTTCGACCAACGGTACTGATGATTCACACTCTCGAAGCGCAACGCAACCTCACCTCTCAAAAAGATAAGTTATTATATCTTATCATCTGATGTGATACGAGTAAACAATACTCAGATCTCGAAATAGTAATGTTGTATTACACCACCCTGCCAGAAAGTGGAGTCCTACAGGGGCGGACGGACTTCACTGTTCAACTAAGGATCGAATCAAACAGGATGATGTCTACGAAACCCGATGAAGAGGTACAAATTCGTCGTTCACTACAGAATAGAAGGCATCTTCCGAGTCAGATCTTTCGAAGTAAAGCATATCTTTTTCTTTAAACTTGACGTCGTAACCACAATTCTGGTTAACGAGCTGTTTCCACTCTACAAGAAAGAGCTCATCTTCAGAGACTCCGTAGCTGTCGAAGACCTCGTTGTAACGATATAGCGGACCTGGACGTGATGATGTGACGGTAGTCCCCCCAATCAGCAAACCCCGCCAGACGTCGTCGCAATGAGCTTCGAATATGAGAAACATGGCGCCACTCTCGTCGGGGCTGTCTATCATCTTGACGGTGATAGAGGTAGCAGACGTCACATCAACCATAAACTCCGAATCACCATACGCACTATACAGCACGGTAGAAAACCCCAAGAAGAGTGAGTAGATGACGGAGCAGGTCCACATATTAGAGCTTCTGTTGCAGAAGGGGAGACAACAAACTACACAGAACGACGGGAAGTTCACATTGAGAACGCACAAGATTCGCGATCCGTCCTTGCTATGCCTCGCGGCGATGCGTCAGTGAGGTTGAGGAGTCCCAATCCCGGATGCCTGTAATGTTTCATTAATATA